CACACACACACACAGAGGCCACACGTTCTCTTTGGGGGGAATGTATGCTTTGTGGGCCGGCGTGGAAGGATTTTGCAGTTTTTTCGGACCCTTAGCAGGGGGGTTCAGTGCGTTCTTGCTGGAGGAGTCTTCTGTCTTAGGTAAGTTGTCTCTTATCTTCCTCCTCTTTGGCAGTGACGTGGGTGTGTAGTTTGAGATGAATGTCGGGAATGCCAATGCTGTTATATTTGACTGTATTTGGCAGTGATGCGGGTGTGTGGGCACTTGGCGCTGAACCACACAAACGTGGCCACCCTTGCATTTTCTATTATATTGCCTATCCATACTTTTTCGTTATGGATGGCTTGTGATGATTTGTGAAGGGAATGAGAGAGAGAAACTTGGGTCTTTTAAAACAACACACATTCCGGTCTTGCTAGCTCTCTGTCTTGACAAATTTGAGCGGCTAGGATCCGGCTCGTACTAGCGAGCTATTCTCTCTTTTTGTGGTTAGATATGTCTTGTTCGTTTTGTTGATTATACACGGCCTAATTCTTTGCTCTGCTTTAGAGCATGGGCTGATTGGATGTTTACGGGTGGCCACGAGTTCTCTTTGGGGGGAATGTATGTTTTGTGGGCCGGCGTGGAAGGCTTTCCCAGTTTTTCCGGACCCTTAGCAGGGGGGTCAGTGCGTTCTTGCTGGAGGAGTCTTCTGTCTTCAGTAAGTTGTGTTTTATCTTCTTCCTCCTCTTTGGCAGTGATGCGAGTGTGTAGTTTGAGATGAATGTCGGGAATGCCGATGCTGTTATATTTGACTGTTTTTGGTAAATGAGTTTTTGGTTTTGTGGGCCGATGCGGAAGGCTCTCCAAGTTTTTTCGGACCTTTGAGGGGGTCGGGTCGGTGCCTTCTTGCTGGAGTAGTCTTGTCTTAGGTAAGTTGCCTTCTGCCCTCCATCCCCTTACGGTTTGAAATATATATGTATAAACTTGTATATGTGCAAGTGTGCTGCTTTGGCGGCAGACGGGTGTGTGGGCACTTGGCGTTGAACCACACAAACGTGGCCAACCTTGCATTTTCTATTATATTGGCTATCTATACTTTTTTGTTATGGATGGCTTGTGATGATTTGTGAAGGGAATGAGAGAGAGAATCTGGAGTCTTTTAAAACAACACACACACACACACACACACACACACACGGAGCCTTTCGTGTTATGCTGTTTTGTGGTTTTGTGGGCCGACGTGGAGGGGTCTCCAACTTTTTTTCAGACCTATGGTGGATGGGGTCGGTGCTCTCTTGCTGGTGGAGTCTGTCTTAGGTAAGTTGCTTTCCCTCCACCCTTTTATGGATTAAGTAAATATATGTATATATTGTTATATATGTATAAGTGCAAGTGTGCCACTTCGGCAGCAGACTGGTGTGTGGGCACTTGGCGCTGAACCACACAAATGTGGCCAACCTTGCATTTTCTATTATATTGTCTGTCTATACTTTTTCATTATGGATGGTTTGTTATGATTTGTGGAGGAAATGAGAGAGAGAATTCTGGGTGCTTTAACAACACACACGCACACACACACATGGCCTAATTCTTTGCCCTGCTTTAGAGTATGGGCTGCTTGTTGATGAAGGCATGTTTGTGGGTGGCCACAATTGTTTTGGGCGGGAATGTTTGTTTGGATTCATGGTCGAGAGTCTTTGCTGTGGGTGTCACTCGTGCGGGCTGCCCTTTTGGAGCACATGGAAGATGGTGGTGCTTCCATGGTGGTTTAAGCAGTAGTGCTCATGGTGTTGAGTGGAGATTCTGTGAATATATGCTTAGAGTTTTGGCCATAGTATCTTGCGAGGAGGCTCAGAGAGTGTTTGCTGTGGGTGCCATTCCCATGGGCTACTACACTTTTGGAGCACATGGAAGAAACGGGGACTTCCAGGGTGTTTTAAGCAGTAGCCCTCCTGGTGTCGCGTGAAGATCTTGTGGTCTTTGGGTTTATGGTACTCTATACACTCCAGAGGATAGACAGCAGATGGGGACTGTCTAGTTCTGGAGTGATAGAGAGTGGTAACATGAGTGTATTGTTTGGGAGGAAAAGGAGTGTCAGTGCTGCTGTGCTTGTGGGCTGACTAGGAGGGCTCTCCAAGTTTTTTCGGACTATACTGTTGGTGCTTTCTTGCTGGTGGAGCCTTCTGTGTTAAGTATGTTGTCTTCTGCCCTTTACCTTTGTTTTTATAGATTAAAAAAAACTATATATATTTGTGCAAGCGTGCCACTTCAGCGGCAGACGGGTGTGTGGCACTTCCTAATCAACCACACAAACGTGGGGGACCTTGCACCTTCTATTATATTGCTAATCCATACCTTTTTTGTTTATGGATGGTTTGTGATGGTATGAGGATGGAATGATAGAGAGCTTGGGGATGTTAACTAACGCACAAACACACACACACACGTTGGCTATGTTTTGTTGTTTTGTTTCATATACATGGCCCAATTCTTTGCCTTGCTTTAGAGCATGGGCTTTTTTTCTTTATGAAGGAATGTCTGTGGGTGGCCACAAGTTTTTTGGGGTGGGAATGTATACTTGGAGTTCTGGCCACAGTATCTTCATGAGGAGGCTCAGAGAGTGTTTGCTCTGGGTGTCATTCCCATGGGCTGTTCTTTTAGAGCCCATGGAAGATGGGGTACTTCTAGGGTGTTTTAAGCAGCAGCGCTTCTAGTGTTGCATGAAGATCTCCTGGTGTTGCAGAAGCAGTAGTACTTCTAGGGTGTTGCAGAAGCAGCAGTACTTCTAGGGTGTTGCAGAAGCAGTAGTACTTCTAGGGTGTTTTCACAGACCAATTGCGGGCATGGTCAGTGCTTTCTTGCCTGGTTACCATGGACCCGATTCCGGGCCGGTCCAGACATCCGAGCGGACCTATTTGTGGACTGCTCCGTACCGTCGGGATTGAAAATTCTGAACCCCTTTAAGGAAAAAAAAAGGAAACTTTTTTTTTTTTTTTTAATTTTTTCCTTGGATTTGGCTATGAATATCGAGATGGGTCCTCAGGTAAAAGATTTTTGTATTGCAATGCTACATAACTTTTTTTTTTTTTTTTTTAACAGACAGAATTTGGCATGACCACGAGTAAGGA